TTGTTAACGAGAAACATGATCCTCATCCTCATCGACCTCATGCATCCTCATCTTCCCCATCATCCGCCCACTACCCCCTCCCCCTCCTCCTCCTCTTTGTCCTGACTTGTCCACTGCTCCCTTTTCTTTTCTCCTCCTCCTCCTCCCTCCTCCTCCTCCTCCTCCTCCTCCTCTTGCTCTGACTCGCTGTCTCCCGTTGGCTCTCATCCTGCAGGAAAGAAGCGGATCTACAGACTCTACGGGCGAGCGGGTGCTGCTGACGTGACCCTCATGCGAGATGACGGACCTTCAGGTTTCCCGCTCGTCGACCTTCTGCTGCTGGAGGAGGAGGTGAAGGTGAGCTGGGGAGAAGCAGGGAGGTCAGGATGACGAGGAGGGCAGGCGCACGGGGAGCCGAGGCAGGGGGAGCGAGTCATGTGCAGGTGAGGAGGAAGGGAAAGTTTCCGTCCCCTGACGAACATTCGAAGGCATCCGCTTGATCCTACGAAACGAGTGATATGCGTGCCTAACTCGGTGAAGACGACTTCCTTCTTCCCGTGCTGCTGCTGTTGCTGCTGCGCCCTCTGCTGCTCCTGCTCCTGCTCCTGCTCCTGCTCCTGCACTGCGCCTGTGCCTGCTGTGTAAAATCCCTCATTCCGAGATGAGATCTTCTGTCGGTTGGGTTCTTATCTCTCTCCTCCCACTCCTCCCTTTCTTTCCTGCTATCCGCTGACAGCGAGAAGGTCGTCGAGCTGCTCGAGCTCGTGTGGGACGGGAAACCTACGCAGGATCCTCCGAGCCCGTCGATAGCAGAGGTGAGGGAGAGGAAGAGGAAGAGGAAGGCAGGCGAAACAAGAACGGGAGGGAAGTGAAGGAGAAGTGCAGAAGGGGAAGGAGGGGGAAGAGACCTGAAACAAGAGATGGGAAAGAGAAGAGGAAGAAGAAAATAGGGGGAAGGGGCTGGGAGACGGAGGACGTGGAGGACGAGGACGAGGAGGTGGTGGCGGTGGTTTGGGGTGTGGGGGGGAGACGAGCAGCGGTTGAGATTTTGCTGACGTTCGAGAAGATTCGAGGTCAGGCGATGAAAGAGCTGAATAACCTCAGACATGATCACGTTCGATTCCTCAACCCTACTCCTTACAAGGTGAAAATCTCTTCCTCCCTCTCTCGTCTTCTTGCCCCTCCGTCCTCCCTCTCTCGTCTTCTTGCCCCTCCGTCCTCCCTCTCTCGTCTTCTTGCCCCTCCTCCCTCCTACCTCTCTCAACTCTGCTTGCAGGTCTCGCTCTCCGAGGACCTCTTCACAATGATGCACGAACTATGGCGGACCGAAGCTCCCATCGCCGAGCTCACCTGAGCATCTCCCCCTCCCCTCTCCTCTCCTCTCCTCTCCTCTCCTTCCGCCTCCTCGTCTTGCATTGTTTGCCCTCCCCCTTGGTCCTTCTCCACTCCCTCTCTCTCCGCCCCACCTTGTCCCTTGGGGAGGGTTCATTGATTGTACGTAAAGTCTGCTGGGAGACGATTGCTCCTTCCTCCTCCTCTTCCTCCACCAAACCTTATTTAGTTCGAGATCAAGGCTGCGGAATTGGAGACGGGAGAGGTCGGAATCATCTTCAACGCTTTCGTCCTTAAAAGGATCGCATGACTGTGGGAGCTCTCCGGCTAGTCTGACTGTTTGCACCATTACCATTAACTCGACCCGAGTCAAAGAGCTACATATTGCAGCTATGCTAAAGGTATGCTCAATTTGGAAGAATCGACGGGTGCTAGTAGAGACATCTAGGTGTCGATCGACGAGGAGGAAGTTCAAAGACAGGCTGCTGAGCTGCAGCTGGGGCAAAATACAAGGGAGAGGACATTGTTGTCAGCTGGCCTGACGTGCTAACTTTCCTGCCATACCATCGGGACC